ACAGAGCTGGCACTGACCTCACTGCCACTGAGCAGGTGAGATTAAAAGGACAGGATGGGCAGGGAGAAGGACTCAGCAAATTAAACACTCACACTTCCAAAGCTTTTTCAGCACACAGCCCCAACCTGGCCCCTGTCATGTCTGCAGGGCTGCCAATCCTGAGCCACTCATTCCCCTGAAGAAAAAGATCACTTAGAAAATAAGATCTAGCTCAAAATTCACAGTGTGACGAGCCAAGTGGCACCAAAGTAAATCCATCATATAAACAAGCAGAGAGGATTTTCACTGCTTCCAGGAAGAGTTTGGCCTCCTGGAGGAAGGTAATTTCTGCACGAGTGACCACAAAATAAAGCTGTTAGGTAATACAGTGATAGGTACTCAAAATATGATAGATGGAGGAACAAGATTGGCTCTGCTTTATGTACAAGTCCATTGCATTCTTGATCACATACTTTAATGGCAAAGCAGCTGCAGAAGTTACAAATTACAAGCTCTGGCTTTGTTTTCAGAGCCGCTGCATAAACAGTTGTAGTTAAAAACTCCAGGCAGGCGCTTCATTCTGTAAATTGTCCCAATAATTTGCCATGAGTCTGCAGCAAGGAATTGTTCTCAAAAATTCAGTGTCATCTACATTGGAGAAGCTCAGTGTCCCTCCATTTCCCTGTTTGTTTTTTGCCCATGGATCCTTGTTGCAGTTTTTGTGCTGGGGTTGGAGATCTCCGTGCCCAGGGCTGTTGGATAAGGTCCTCAGTCATTCATCTGCTTTGTCTGGAAGAGGGAAGAACTCTCCTCAGATTTAATCTATTTCAGCTATTACCTCTCCTGCCTTTGTTACACTGGTTTTTTCTGCATATTAGATAAAGCCTGGCTGGCTGCTGCCAGGAAAATTAGGTCTTCTATTGTTTTACCATTAATTATGGAGAGTTCAAGATAAGGTTTGTGTTCGAAAAGTAGAGGGCAGGAACGGTTTGAATTTGACTTTCATTATAATTAGACAGGAAATTATGAAAAGGTGGAAAATAATTCATTGAAGAGCTTTCCTCTAGCAAGATAACAAGGAAGGCACATTTTGGCCCAGATGGAGTTGACGGGGTATTATTGAACACCATTGTTCTGTGTGCCTGTGCTGGCCACGGGGAACCTGCTCCTACTGATTCGTGTGTGGGCAGAAATGGGCAGGGGGAGGCCCCTGACTCCCTGCTGTTCTACTAAGGGCCTTTTCTCCTACAAAATAAAAAAAAAAAATAGGCTAAATTAGTCCTAATGGAGTAAGGCATTGAGTGACTGCAGAGATTAATTGGAACAATCAGTCACTTTCTGTGTAACTTGCAAAGGACATGGAGTTATGACTAATCGAAGGATGAATTAATTGGGCAGCTGTCTCACTTGCAGTTGAGCACTACTGAGATAAACATTTGGGCTAAGAAGGTGTCCTCATTAGAATTTCTTCATTTGATGCTGATGGTGATGTTTACAACTACCCTGAGACTCCAGAGTCTTCAGAATTTCCCTTCACGTGGAATTGCTGCAGCCCAGGCTCGTAAAGGCATTTTCCAATGGGGGGCATGAACCTCTCCTGCAGCTCCTAACTAAAGGCTGGCCATGCCAAAGCCCCTCAGGGCCCATTTCCTTCTGCAATAAACCTTCTGTAATCAACTTCTGCCAAGCTTCCACCATTTCTTTCTGTTCAGATTTTATTTAGGGTTGGTAGGAAAAGCAGGACACGGGGACAGAGGTCCTGGAAGAGAGGAGTCCCTGCAGAAGACCACTGAGGTGAATGAGGTGAAGATGAGGATTTTCGTCATTCAGAGTCAATAGAAGCTTCAGAAACCAAATAATGCAGGTGGAGGAGGGAAGAAGGATGAATTTCTCTCCTTGTTAGCAGGTAGGAAGCAAGATTCCAAGGGGAATGAGTGATTTACCCACAGTCACACAGGAGATCAGCAAGAGATATGGAAATTAATGCTGAGAAGCATTTCAGTGCCTTAATCATAAAGCCAATCTTTTCCCTCAAATGCCAACAGCATTAAACATTCCTTTTAAATAATGGAATAAGCAGAAGGCTTTCACTGACTTACAGGAATGTTTCCATCCAAATATTTTAGAGGGCAGCCCATTCCAATTTCCATTTGGTCAGTATTAGGACTTATGTCCAAATCTAGGAAACAGGGATTGGGATGAACTAAATCAAGTTCACCTGTCAGATTCCTTTGAGGATCATATGCTAAAACTGCAAGGTCAAAAAACCCTGGGTGTGTTTTATTATATTTATTTATTATATTTACCACTAATTAGGTAGGCTTTGAAAAAGGGGCTGAAATATTCTCTCCTTGGGAAGCTGTTAAACTGCTAAATGGCTGAGAACAGGGAAGAGTCCCAGCTCTGGCACACAAATAAATCTCTTGTTCATCTCTTTGCTCATCTCTGAGCAGCATCAGGTCACTGCCCAGAGAAACACATTTTGTATAAATACATAAGAGTCTGGGCAGAAGCCTGTTTTTATTTAATCTGGCTTCAATTAAATGTCTTAACTGAAAATAATGATGTTAGAGCAGTGATCAAAGAATTATCTCATTAATTGGCTATTAAATCATTAGCTATTAAACAGAAATAAAAGGTTAAGAATGCAACACTCTATTCTGCACAAAATAATAGGAATACGTCTCCAGCATCAAAGAAACAATAAAGGCAGAATTAACAGTGAAAAGAAGCTTAAGATAAGGCAATTAGATCCAAAATGCCTGGCAACTCTCATTAGAGGGTTTAGCACTACAACCTATATGGAAAAGGCAACAGAAATTCAGAAGCAAAGTCAATATTGACTTTACCAAAGGGGCTTGTAAACAGAATATGCATTTTTCTGAAAAAATATAGGCACATAAACATTGTACTAAATTTTAACTCAGCTAATTAATTGTTATGGATTCAATCTTGCAACCAATACATATATTTGCAGTTAAAAAATTATGCCTGAACAGCATTTGGTCTCAGTAATTGGTGACTGAAATCATGCAAGTATGCTGCAATTTTCACAAAAATAACATTACTCCCCGCTTCTACCACCAGGATGAGGCAATATCAACTCAACAAAGACCACATTCAGACCTCCTGGGTTTGTTCAATGTGTCCAAATATTTGAGATGGGTACCAGGTCTGGGAGAGGGTCCCAGGAGCATTGCCTACTGTCAGTGATTTGAGACCCAAATAATTTCCTAAAGCAGGCAAATGAAGCCCTGACTTACATCAAGTCACTACCAAAAAAAAACCCCAAAAAACACAAAAAAACCCATTGTAAATCCTGTCTGGTTCAGTCCAGTATTCTCAAAGGACAGCAAGTCTTAGAAACTCAATTAATAAAAATAAAAGTCCCCACACAGCATCTTTTGGATCTGTTGTTCTGAAGTGCAAAAACAAGACAGTCCCAGCAATATGTTGGTGATGTACAACTCGATGTTTGAGTTTATAATCTACAATTCATTGTTCATGTTTATCAACTGATAAATAATAGTCACTAATCAGATAATAGCTGTATGCTACGCAGAGATAAAAAGATAAAGAATAGCAACATTTAGCAAGGCAGTCTTTTTCTTTGACAATTAATTTAGTCATAAACAAAGATATTCATCCATGTTCCTCCGGTAAGGACCTTCAAAGAAATTTGGTTTCCAGAAAAAGAAAATGGGATAATTTTCTTTTCCTGATACCTAAGGGAACATATGGAACCCATAAATAATACCAAAAAACCCCACCCCATACAGAATTCACTGTAGTCCATTTTTAAGATCATCTGAAACAAGAATACCCCCAAACCACATAATAAAACAAAATCATCTATTTAAGATATTCAAAAGCACCTCTTTTATGTCTAAAAGTAATAATAATAATAATAATGAGCTAAAAGCTGGAAGCTATGCAATGGTGTCAGAAGTCAGGCAGGCAGAGCCTTGATAAAGTCACAACAACACAATTTTCATCACAATGTCAGGGACACAGAACCACTTAAACATAATATTAAAAAAAAAAAACACTAAAACACAGCACAACATTGTTTAAAAGCTCGCAGCTCTCATTTTACGACTTTTTTGCAATACGGTTGTTATTTTCTATTTGTGTTACTTTCCCCCAGGTGTTGGTACAGTTCAGGATTATAAGAATATAAGTTCATTATAAGAAATATTCTGAGTTCATTGTAAGAAACTCTTGGCTGGCGATGCAGCCAGAGCATGATGGAAACTTCCTGCCCTACCTGTGCCAATATTGTGCATTATTGCTGTGGAACGATGGACAGGGAACAGCCCCAGAGGAACAGAGACCCCTCCATGGGATCCATCAGCCAGGTCAGCACTGGAATACCTGGGCAGTCTGAGCAGCCACGGGACCCTGCAGCACCTCTGGGAGCTCCCTCCTCACCACCAGGGCAGCACTGGGGAGTGTCTGATGGAAAATCCTGTTTTAAATCAGGAGAACCCAGGGGGAAGAAATGCTGATGTCTGACTCCAGTTCAGAAGGCTGAATGGTTTCTTTATTATAACTATTGTATAATACATTAATATGCTATTTAAAGGAGATACTAAAACTACAAACCTACTTTTTCTAACTACCTTATCTAACTCACTTATCACTACCTTATCTAACTATAATACATTAATATACTATTTAAAGGAGATAGAAAAGCAGGTTTGTAGTTTTAGTAACTATCATATCTAACTCACAAATTGTGACCCTCTCTCTCAAGTCCAGCCCCAGGTGGGCTGGATTGGCCACCAGGCTCAAACAATCCTCACCAGAACCCAACCAAGGAATCACCCCAGGGAAACAATTCTCCAAACACATTCCACATGGGAAAAACCAGGAGCAGAAATAGAAATTGTTTTCTCTTTCTTCTCTCTGTGCTCCTCCATGAAAAATCCTGAGAGAGAGAAAAACGTGCCTGCCACAAAACCCCAGTGTGGAGGTGCTGGAGGAGGAATAAAAGCCCCAAACTCGTGTGGGTGCCTCACCTTCACGACGTCTTCGTCGGCGGATCTGCACTCGGTGGAGTCTGAGACATCGACCACGGCCCCGTCCTCCTGCACAGCCACCACCTTGACTGGCACAGCCACCATCCTGCCCGTGAGGATGGCTGTGTTGAGGATTTCTGTGTCCTGGGTGCACACACAAACACAGGATGAGTGTTAGAGCAGCACAAAACCACCAGAATGTCACAGGGGTCGTGACAGTGACAGGCACAGGGATGGAGCCCTCCCTTGCATCACCCTTCCATCTCCTTGCAATGTTTTAGCAACTTTCTAAGGAAAAGCTGCATCAGGAACACCAAGCCCTGGTTCTGGCAAACATGGGTTTACTCCTTCTGAGCCCATTTACAGGGATTCATTCCAGGCCCCTCCAAAAGCCTGAGATAGGAAATACTGCTCTGAATCAATCCCCTTTTCATTTTTCAACTTCCATAAAACGAATTGCTTGCCAGTTGTGGGGGGAAAAATAAAAAAAGTTAGTACCATTTGGGGGCAATGGTACCTGTAACACAGCACTGACTGCCCAGTAGGATCTCCAGGGCATCAGCAGCTCCTCCCACCCCTTCCCAGGTGTCTGGGAGGTGATTCTCCACCCTCACATCAGCATTTTTTCCTTTCTGTTCCAGCTAACTCTGCTGTGAGTCGACCATTTATTTCCATGAATGCATTAGGAGAAAAACTATACATCCACATACAATTGTTTTAGTCTTTCCCCATCCAAATCCCACCTAGAGACGCTTAACCACGTTTATCTGCAATCCTGATGAATTCACAGTGCTGGCACTCTAATGACTCCATTACACAGCCTTCCTCTCTGTCTCAGTTTGATGAATTACTCCAAATGAGTTGCTACAGAGGCCCCTGCCTGGCATAAGCAGGTCCAGGCTGGAGGGAACAGCCTCTGCAGAAGCAGTGGTCAATGCCAGCCCAAAAGCTGACACACAAGTGGGGCAAGGAATGATCTGGGATTTCACAGGGATTCATTCCGGGCCCCTCAAAAAGCCTGAGATAGGAAATACTGCACTGACTCAATTCCCTTTTCATTTTTCAACTTCCATAAAACTAATTGCTTGCCAGTTGGGGGAGAAAAAAAATAAAAAATTTGCTTCAAACTAATCTAACTTTAAATTCCATTATTAGAATTGGTGGAAGAAGGAATGGATTTTAGTGAAAAATTTGATGGCAGCTTGCATAGGGAGATATATTCACTATCATTTGCTCTGGCTGCTGGCTAGATTGATAGAGAATAATGGGCATTGACCACAAGCTAAGGACAGCTGGAGAAGACCAATAAATACTTGCAACTAAGATGTATTATTAATCAATATTCGGAACCTTGTGCAAAAAGCGCCCTGAATTAAATGAGCTGCAGCACTAATAACAGCAGTGCCAGCCACCTCTGAGAGCCTACGAGAGGTTTATGGGCAGCCAGAACAGCATCCAGCACACACTGGAGTCCATTTCTGATCAGAACAGCGCTGAAAGGACGTGCTCAGCTCCACGCTCAGACCTCGATGGGATTTAAGAGTCATCCTGAGCAGAGAGGCTTTTTGGAATAACACCTCAGGAAATAAGTACAGGCTTTGTTCTGTTCTCTGCAAGGCACAAACCAGATGTTTTACACAGTAAATGACTCTCTAGTTTTTGTTTCTGCTGAACGGGCTCATTTATAACCAGCTGCCAGCCAGGAGAGAGGGACACCAGCAAAGAGACAAGTATGTGACAGAAGTGGAAGTGTGAAAAAAACAACTGAAAATCCTTTACAAAGACTGAGGTTTGAACCAGGCTGAGGAGAAAATGCACTGCCAGGTGAAAGACAGCACTTAGGTGCACCTCAGATGGAAAAAGGTTTATAAGAGAGCAAAGAGAAACTGGAGGTAATTCATCCACAAGTCAGAGGAGAGGTAGTTAGATTTCACCACTGCAAACATCCCATATATCCTGAGCCCTGAAATAGCAGATATTTGATGAAGACCTGGTGGTCCTGGGTCAAATGGCTCATGAAGAGCAATTCTCCAACACTCTCCAACAATAGATGATCTTCTCCAACGCACCTGGGGCAAATCTATTTTGGCCAAGGTCACAAACGATGAGCACGCAACAAATTCCACTTCCCAGCTCTCTGTTAGCACAGCTGGGAACTGCTCCAGGTCAGGCAGGCAGCTTGTGTCCACCACAGCCTGATCCAAAGCACCAGGGAGTCAGGATTAACCTCTCCCGAGTCAGGACTAAAGGGCTCTCTGCAGCTGGGGGATAGGAACCAGCTCCTCAGCGGGCCTGATCCATTTCTCATTTGTTTTCTGTGCTGTTTGTTCTATCACCTGGCTGCTGACCATCCTGTGGCAAAGCCTCCAGCCCCTTTTGAAGCCTAAGTGCTCTTTAGCTGCCAAAGCTGCACTCAGACTTTGGTGCACTGAAGGACAAGGTGAAGTTTATAAAGGCATTTGCATTCCTTCCAGAAAAGATGAGCATGGGACAAGCTCAAGTACCAGAACTGTCCTGAACTTCCCCTGCTTCCAGCACACACAGGAGCCCACGTGCTATTTAGCTGCTGCAGCCTCACAAGCCCTGCACTTCTCTGTAAGCATTTCCACCAGAGAAATCAATATCCCAGCTGCCTGATGCCTGCAGTGATCCTACACAAATATAATGGGCTGGGTAAAGGCCTTAAGACCCGGCTATTTATAGACTGCAAAAATATATTTCCTCTGAGGAAGAAATAGGAACTAATTCACTGTCCAGTAGATTTATAAACAGAATTTTTAGTGCTTCTTCAACAAGTCATAACATTTTATCTAAATTTTGTAAAGCTTGGTTTGCATTTCCATGGTAGAGTTTCCTGCAGGAAAAGAACTCCTAAAAAACTGCTGCTGAACTTCAGCTCCCTGTGCTGGTGATTTCTGACAGCATCTGCAATGTACAGAGGGGATGTACAATGTACACTGTGCTGATTTATGTGGGAAATCGGGTGTGATTTCACGGGGCACAGACCAGCACCAACACCCAGGGACCACCAGCACCATCCTCCTGCTGTGGGCACTGCAAAACCCCTGAGGAAAAACTGGGAATCCTTTCCCATTTCTTTTGTTGAGGTCAGATCTTGACCAACTCCTTCAGCTCAGCATCCTGGGTGGAAGCTACACATTCATATCACAGGTTCCATCCCTGAATAATAATAATAATTATTATTATTGTGTGTGTTTATCTGCAGCTATCTGCACCTGAATGCATTAACACTTCAGCAGAGCTCTTCTTAATTACAACTGTAACCTGCTAATAGCATTTCTTTGTTGTCTGAAGGAATCTACTTCTCATGCAGCCCAGGCTAAATTAAAATTTAATACAACATCAGGTCGCAACAGAACTAGGAAGCAAATGACAGCTGTTTAATTAAAACCTAAAGCTGATTAGATGGCACTACTGAGAGAAATACTCAAGAGGAAGAGCTGAAAACTACTGGAACTCAGGGCCGGGATAATGGCTTTATTTAAATATGAATAAACGCTGCACACAGTGTAGTAAATGTTTGACAAGTGTTGGGTTTGGACAAAGGTGGAGGAAAAGTGAATGGGAGATGTGTCAGGAGCCATGAGAGAGCTGTGGCTGCAAACACTGCTGTCACCTGGGGATGCAACCAGGAGCTGGGATTGCTGAGGAGTTGAAACGTAAATTGTAAAGAATTTAGAGATTTTAGAGGAGCCAAGATTTTAGTGAGAAATAAGCCTTACTAGAGTTAAATAAAATAAATGAGTAGGCCTTGATGAAGTTAGGAGTTAGTAGCTAACTAATAATTGATTGCTTGTCAGCACAATGTTTAGTTAGCTGGGTTTATAATGAAGAATATAAACTGACAAAGAGCTTTTAGGAACATAAGACAATTGTGGGCTCCTCTGTTCTGAAACCAACTGAAGACAAGGAATGGGAGTTCTACCAAGAGTTCATTTGTCATATTGGCATTGAAAAGGTAGAAAGGTCAGAACGAGGAAGACTTCATTGACTTCCTCATTTTGGGACCCCTCTCCATGAAAGGAACACCGACCCATTTCAAGGAACAAACTTCATGCTGAATAGATTTTGAAGTGATTAGCATACAAAGTGAGGAATGGGATGTACAAAATGATGAATATGTATTTGTATTTTGGGTATTCAATACTTGTATGGATAAAAGGGCTCTGTAATCACCTGGGAGCTGCGGTGTGGATTTGGGAGCGATCCCACACATCATAAACACACACTTTCTAACTTTAAACTGTTAGAGAGATTTTGTCCCTCACAGTTGGATATTGGTACTAGATCAATATCCATATTTTTTAATAAATCAGAGTCACTCCCATGGGTGGGCACAAATCAGCTGAGCAACTCCAGGCACAGAGTTCCCAATAACTGTGCTTTGAACACCACCTAAACAGCGACCTAAATGCTCCTTAGGCAGGTGATGGTGGCAGCTCACCCAGCTCCCTGCACCACGCAGCACTTTCACCCTATTTTGGTTGAAAAATGAAGACGTGGAGAAATCCATTCCCCATCTCACAAGAAAGCACCTCAGGAGCTGGGCTCAGGTCAGCCCCTGCTGCTTGCTGCCCCTGGGAGCAGCCAGGATCCTTCCCGAGAGCCTGGCAGCCCAGGCTCCCCTGACAGGTATCATCCCTGTGATTAATGCACCAGCTGCCTGCGTTTTTCTAGAGGTTAACAAAACATGCTACACTACACTAAACCCAATAAACACTCAATAGTAAATCAGGAGGGAAACCTAAAGCCAACCCTATTCCACTGACAAATGCTACAGTTAAATGCCTTTTGGCATTCAGCTGAAATGACTGTCTTTAGTGAGGAAGGCAGAGAGCTGGAACATTTGTCTGTGGAATTGCATTCCTTCATTATTATTTCTTTCCCCAGAGTGTAGCTCGCGAAAATACATTTGTAATATTAGAAGGAGTCTTTTAGGAACCAGTTCTTCTGCCTGGAAACGGCATCTCTTAAAAAATGTAAATTACAGGGCAGATTGTGACGTGTGGGCTGGGCTAGGGGAGGGTTTTTTTATTTGATAAATTATTCACCACCTTTTGCTTCAGATCAAAGAGCAAGGCAATATAAATCCATTAAGCAAGCCTAATATATAAATTAGATGC